AAAATACTTGACAAGATTAGATAAAGTGATTATTCAATAATGACGGAAGTTGGATGACAAAAAAGAGCACACAAGTGACAGCATATGCTACACGAATATACATACATATTTTAAGTTTTTGTTTTGGTATGTTTTTTTTCTGTTCTGTGTTCTTCAAAGAGGTTATTCGATATAATGGGGTCATATATTTCCATAATCTATCATAATAAATTTTCTGATGAAAAATTGCCTGTTGTTGGATATGAAATTTATGTAAAGGGACATATGGTTGGGTGCTTATCATTTCGTTGACATGAATAAAAGATTAAGGCATGCAAAGGAGCAACTGGGAACGCGAAAGTGAACAAAATGCAATCGAATAAAAAACATAAAAAAACGTTAGTTGACCATTTTTGGAGAGGTTCCATAGGAGGTTGCCCTATAGACCCCATTTGAGAACTTAATGTAGGTTTGGAAAATATTTCGATTTGCAAAGTTGGGAACAAACAAGATATTCTTTCATTATCTTGATATTGGATTAACAAATATTCATAATGTTGGCACCTTCTGGGGAAAGTACCAAAAGGAGTGGACCAACGGGTCTCATATTCAAGTTTAGTGAAATTTTATATTACATACGCTCCATATGAGATTAACAAGTTTTCAAATTTTTTACCCTTTTGTGGATGAGGTAATAGAAGAAGTGGCCCGATAAGTCCAATCTTTCAACATTATATAGGCATGATTAGAAAATTAGTTTGTGCAAAGTTTGGTTTGAATCGAATGCTCTGTTCGCATTATAATTATGACCATGTGACCCTTTTTGTGTGGGATGTACAAGAAGAAGCGGAACGGTGGTTGCCATCTTTCATCATAAATTATGTTAAAAAATTACGATGTGCATATTTGACATCAAATCGGACCATTTTTATTGGAATAACAGATTTTTAAAATTTTAACACATTGTAGGGGAGGTACAAGAAGGAGTGTCCGGTTGGGTCTCTTCTTCGAACTTGATTTAGAGTTGGTAAAAATACGATAATGTGTAGAGTTTGGGTCAAATCGGAAATTATTGGATTTATAAATATTGCAATTTGTTACCCTTTGTGGGGAGGTACCAAAAGGGGTGACCCAATGGGTGCCATCTTCGGATCTAGCCTTGGTAAAGATAATAGATTGTTCAAAATTTGGTTCGTATCGGATTTTCAGCACTATATTGACCATTTTGTAGGGGAGGCACCAGAATGAGTTGACCGATATTCTCCATCTTCGAACTTAAACAAAGTTTGGAAGAAAAATTACAGACAGACAAACAAATGGACATTTGTAAATCGACTCCAAATTGTCTGAAACCGATTTGGTACAAAGACCGCCAATATTTCAATGCAGCACATGTTTGCCGTTCAAAAATGTATATACCCTCATTAACCATAAGGCTGAGGATATAAAAATGCTCCGACAATGGGCTTGGACGTGCAAATCAATCTGGATAGGTTATAGCCGTAGAGTCTTGACAGGGAACCCAATGATTTATTTTTATTCTCGCATATAAAAAAAGAGTGTTTAACGAATTTTGTTGCCTGAATATTATGTTCAAGCGCTCAAGGTTTAGGAGAGGTCTCAATCGGATTGGAAAAAGTCTTCGACAATTGGTTTACATTTTTAGACCAGTGGAAAAACGATGGAAATATACGAATATATTTAAACAATTTCTTAGTATTTTTTTTTTAGTTCCTAGCAGATTTCTTTAGACAAAATTTCAAATATTATTCTCATTCAGTTATCCTTAAAAAATTAGCCTCATGTACAATAAAAAAAACAGTGAGTGGAGCAGTATAGTCGGACGGGGCCGGCCAAATGTTACCCTACACAACCTACACAACGAACATCTTACTTCTTGCGGTTCTATATTTAGATACTCTGCAATATTTCGTGATATTTGCACCACTCTTGAAGGTTATAGGTCAAAAGCTGCACATTCAAACCCTGTCATATTTTTCAAATCTTGTCTTTCCGAGTTGAATATTTACGCCATAAAATAAAAATTTAGTCACTTTGAGTTTTTATTGATTTGGCCTCGGAATATTCGCCGATCATAATATAATCATCGTTCTAGGTATTTGGCCAGATCCCCTTCATCGTGCAAAAGATTTATTTTTGTTCTGCACATAATAATGGCCTCTAGAGCGACTAGAAAATCTGATAAAAAAATAAAGTTTTCGGTTCACTGCACCCCTAACATAATCTCAGCATCAACAAAAATTATAGGCGCTGTCCTTGATTATAACCGGGTACTTCATGTAAAATTTCAAAGTTATCAGCGTAACACTTCCGCCCTCTAGCGGAGTAGTAATGCTAAACAATAACATAACAGATAGATACCTTTAAATATTTACCTATAATTCCCACATTCGAGAACATTCGCCATTTTGCCAAATTTAAAGGTCATCAACTAACCTTGTATATACTAACAACTTCTCCGGTCTATGTCCTTCAGAATACAAATTTTTTAACTTTTCTCACAAAAGTCTGTGTTATTTTGACCCGCTTAATATTGACCGATCTTCTCCAAAACTGTCATGCTTTTTCTTTCTCCAGACCCTTCTCTCTGTGTAAAATTTCGTGATATTCGGATCATAATGGTAGAGGCCAATATTAAGATCCGAATATCACGAAATTTTACACAGAGAGAAGAGTCTGGCGAAAGAATAAGCTTGACAGTTTTGAGAAAACCCGATAAAAATAAAGTTGTTGGCCCATTTAATCCTCTAAATATTAAAAGATCATTATAACAAATATTAGGGGTCCTCTTTGGCCAGAACCCTATCCTACATGCCGTGACGATTGGTCCATAGCTGTGGCCTGTATCGTGTTTATATGTCTACATATCGGCTCAGCTAGTCGAGATAGGCACGATCGGTATACTTAAAGGTACATCTAGGACCAATATTTCGCAGCGTTACAAACTCTTAGAACCACACAAAGCTATGATACATAGTTGTGTAGGGTATAAAAATAATACCAATTTTTTAATCGTTATAGTCCATCCCTTTTTAATTTGCTTCCACTATAAATATAATTTTAAGGACATATCCCAATTATCTAATTTAAAAAGTCATTAAAAAATATGCTCATGTATTTTCCACTTAAACCACCTAATATCCTTATCCATCCCGCAATGAGTTATTACGTGTAAATCTCGTAATAAAATAAAAGAAGTCAAATTACGCCAGCACTGCAACACAAATTGAAAACAAATTCCACTTAATTCGATTTAAAGAAGCTAATCTGTCATCAGCATCATCGACATCATGGTCATGACTCAAATGACCATTCAATTTGTTCCCGCTCCTGCTGTGGTTTTCATGTAAATGAATGCATGTACTCAATTATGAAGATTAGCGGCAGTTTTTTTTTCAATCCTGCAACGATTTTCCTTTTTTATTCCTAGAAATCAATTTACTCATGAAATGTCAGAGAGGAATAAAGGATTGTCCTTTCCGTTGATGCAGTACAAGAGTAAGCAATTTGTTTCGCTTCAAATGGGGTAATTTTCTTCTACGAATTATTTTGTTTTTGTGTGGTTTTCGAATGAATGCAATTACGAGTTGTGTAAACTATTACCCCTCTTAAAGGGTATGCTTGTACATAATATGATTTAGAAGTCTGTATCTTTCTCTCCCTCTTCTGTAGGCTTAGCATATTCCTCTTGGAAATAATATGATTTAGAAGTTCCTTATTACCCACCTCCCAGGAAGTCTAGCCTTAGTTACACTCTAGGCAGTCACTTAATTAACAATTAAAACGTGTCTGTAACTTATGTCGGGTTTCTAAGCCCCTCAACCCATAAGACATTCCAAATGAATGCAAAGGAAATTGTTGACATGGTTGGTTGGCTGCCAGCCTGGCTGGCTGCTGCCTCCCTAACTGGCTGGTTGCTGGGTGATAATTTTAATTAAACAAATTAATAAATAATAATTATATTTATTTCTCATAAGCAACAACAATTATTATTAATATTTAGTGAAGTGAAATTGAAATTCATTTGCCTGGCTGTTATGGGAAATAATTGCCTAATTAAACAGAAGAGGTGGGATATTGACATAAAACATAACTTTATTCCCCGGGGATGGTTGCTAAAGAGCAATGGAATGCCTAAACGGTTGATGTATGGGTACCAAATTAAAGGAAAACTCATATATTTTCTTAAAAATTTCTTCAAATCCAATAACAATTTTACTGAATATGAATAATCTGGCAGAAAATAATTTTTTCATAAAATTTTTGATTTTTTTTAAATGTATATATATATATATTTTTTTTTTGTCTCTTGATTAAATTATTGTTCTGCTTCAATATAGTATTCAGAAAAAACTATATATATTTAATTTTATTTTTAACATTATGAAATCTTCTTTTAACATAAATACATTTTTTTTCCTAAAAAAAAAAAAAACAAAAAATTCTAAAACCCACCTTGAGGTTTAATGGGAATGTAGTGCTGTAACCTTGTCGTTTCCATTGTAAACGGAAATTGACTTCCTTCGATAACCCAACACAGTTTGTCAATGACAAATTTTATATACCGGACACAAAAACTTCTGGTTTATTTTCCCATGATGTGTTTTTTTTTTCAATTTATCAAGGAAATGTTGATGTTGTTGTTCTTCATACAATTTATTGGTATTTTTCCGGGATATCTAACAATCTCGTGTCCAAACTTATCACAAAGGAAACAACAGACAAAGATAATACATAAAACAAATATAACAAATAATCATATATAAATGTGTGAGAGTTACCTATATGCGGAGAAAAAAATGAAAACTGACATATGGGTACCGACTCGCTTATAACGAAAATGCTCTCGATATCAAATAAAGATTAGGATTTTTGGATACAATCGTTATAACACTGTTGTCAGAAACATTTTAAAAATTTGTAAACCTGATATGAAACGAACGTATTATCCAAATTCCATCTAAATTTGGATCATCGTAATATTTTCACCAAATCCAAAAATGGGACTTATCGTGCAAGGTGGATACGCACGAGGAGCACCCCCACTAAGTAAGGTTCTTTTCCTAAACGCTTTACGAAAAAAACTACTTAAACAACTAAGGGTCCGATCGTCTTTAAGAACTCTACAGAAATTCCATATTTGCCAAATCTCTAATGTCTTAATAGTAACAGTATTACGTCAGTATCTCACCCACACCACACTCATCTTACACCCACATAAATCCGTTTGGGACATACATCTTTTATGCAAAAACACAATAAGAGAACCATGCCGTCAGTAAGAAACCAGTACTTAAGCCGAAACGAAAGACTGGCCCGTATAGTGCGAACACAGCGTCACGAATAAATTCGTATGTAACCCTGCATTTGTCACTGTCCGTCCACCTAGTCCCCACCTTTCAACAACACACTCCCGAAGGACCAGGTCAGAAAGCCTGAGCCAATTATCCTCATCCACTGCATGCCACGCTTAAGCTTATACTTGATAGCCCTACATCTCACCTCAAGATCAAGCGACACGGCGCCAAGCAGCACTTGTAACGCCTCTTCTGGCCTAAGACAGTCGAGGCAGCTTTGTACCGTACAGGTGAACCATACGATGCACAGGCAACAAATAACCCACAATATTTATGGCACTCACAGCACGCCTACTCATGCTCCAATCGATCAAAGTAAGGAAGAAAATTCAACCGTTAGGAAACCGTTATTCCGAGATTCTTAACTGTAGTCGAATACCTTATGCCGCGTTCATCAGTTCGAATAAAGGGAGGGCGATTGTGTGCCAACCTACCTTTCAGCAGCAGGACGATTGTGTGGCAAAAACACAATAAGAGAACCATGCCGTTAGTAAGAAACCAGTACTTAAGCCGAAGCGAAAGACTGGCCCGTATAGTGCGAACACAGCGTCACGAATAAATTCGTATGTAACCCTGCATTTGTCACTGTCCGTCCACCTAGTCCCCACCTTTCAACAACACACTCCCGAAGGACCAGGTCAGAAAGCCTGAGCCAATTATCCTCATCCACTGCATGCCACGCTTAAGCTTATACTTGATAGCCCTACATCTCACCTCAAGATCAAGCGACACGGCGCCAAGCAGCACTTGTAACGCCTCTTCTGGCCTAAGACAGTCGAGGCAGCTTTGTACCGTACAGGTGAACCATACGATGCACAGGCAACAAATAACCCACAATATTTATGGCACTCACAGCACGCCTACTCATGCTCCAATCGATCAAGGAAGAAAATTCAACCGTTCGGAAACCGTTATTCCGAGATTCTTAACTGTACTCGAATACCTTATGTCGCGTTCATCAGTTCGAATAAAGGGAGGACGATTGTGTGTCAACCTACCTTTCAGCAGCAGGACGATTGTGTGTCAACCTACCTTTCAGCAGCTACAGCAATGTCTTCTCTGTTGCAACCTCCACTCCAACTCGGTCAACCCAGACCTGCACAATCAGCATAGCTTGCGCACCACAATTTTCCAGTTCAATGAAAATGAGCATCAGAGTATCCATCATGAGGTTCCAATACATGGATCACCAATGGAACCTTATGGACAACCACGCTGCATATTCCTCTAGACCGAAGTACTAGCTCCCACGACACAAGACTGCGCCCGATCTCTGACAACCTTGTGAGCACGCTATCCCATAAATGGATGTCAAATGCGCCTTTGAAATCCACAAATATGCCAAGGACATATTTGGAATTTGAACCGCTCAGGCAAATATTGCACATGCTGCCACGCGTCCACAGTACCTCTACCCTCGGTAAAACTGAACTGATACAAGGACGTGCATTCACAGCAAGTCGTCCACATACGCACAAACCTTGAAGGAGCCAGCTAGCTCCCGCAACAGAGGATCTATCATGAGATTCTATACACATGGAACACAAATGCAACCCTGTGAGCAACCACGCTACACATCTTTCCAGGCCGAAGCAATGGCTCCCACGACACAAGCCTTCCTATATCGGAAATAACTCTTCAAAGGAGCAATCTCACTGCACCCGAACTCTGACAACATTGTAAGCTCACTATCCCATAAAAGGAAGCCAAATGCGCCTTTGAAATCCACAAATATGCCAAGGACATATTTGGAATTTGACCCGATCAGGCTATCTTGGACATGCCGCCATTCGTCCACAGTATCTCTACCCTCGGTAAAACTGAACTGATACAAGGACGTGCATTCGCTTTAGCATTTCTCTGCAGCATTTTTTTAAAAACTGAAAAAAAGACTTATGCCCCTATACGGCACGAGGATCATTCTAAGTAACACAACAATTCGGGCACACTTCCAATCAAGCGGGAAGTATCCATGGCGAATACAACTGGAGAAAACGAACTCGATATATTCCGGCATGTCCTTTCAGACGACTTTAACAATCCTTCCAAGCATACCATGCATACCTCGCGATTTTCTACTTCCAAACCGCCAGATACTGCCCACAACATCTATACGATCCTAACCCGAAGGTTCCCTCATTTCATCAACAACTAGAGGAAATTATGTAGTCTCAGAATCCGGAAAGAAATTTAAAGTCGAATATGGGAGCAATGCCCAGTCCATATTCGATTTTAATGGATTTTAGGTATTTTGAAATTCTGCCCAGCAGAAAATTTACGACGATTTTACTTGTCTTCTATTAAGAAAGTCTTACAATATTCCCACTGATAGAAGACGTTAATATGCTTCATTAATCTTTATCTAAAATATAAATATGGAATTTAATATTCAATATCTGACAACAACAATTTTTTTTTGTTATTTTGTTAATTTCCTTTAACAGAAAATTGACTTAAGACCTCATCATAATGTTTGTATCCTCTCCTAAATGGAGCATAAAACGCATTGCAACGAAGACATTATTTGCAATGTATTTTCAATACGCAAAACCGATGCCGATACCAATACTGAAGACGACAACAACGACAATGATGATAGAGCAGTAAGCAGCTACAAGTATGTGTTGCTGTGTGTATGTGTGTGCGAATCCTTCTTAGCTGAAGTAACCACATTTATTGTAATATCCTGTGGCGTTTTACCGCACCAAAGCACTTGTCGTCGCCTTCCGTTCGAATTTGTGTCAATGTCCCTAGTCAAGGAGATGGCGACGGGCCTAGAGAGCGGAAGAGAGAGAGTGAAGAGACTTTTACTCTAAGTACTTTGCGGAGCAATGCATGAATGAATAAACTCATATATTATAAGAGAGCTTTGTTGCCATAATATTAACCCATAACGAATGAAATCGAATATTGCCATAATGAAAAAAATTAGAAATATAATGTTACCAAAAATATATTTGATAATAAAAATCCCTATTCTTAGCAAAATTATTTTTTTTTTACTTCTCTCTCTCTGGAAAAAAAGAATTGTGGCATGGAATTTCCCCAGTACTTGATGTCAAGTACTTATTTTTGTTGTTTGTTTATTAAGTAGCTTTGTCTATATATATGTGTGTGTATGTCATGTCATTCATTTTACTGTTATCGTTTTTAGCCGTCTGTCTCACTGTTGTTTTTGTTATTGACGTCCTTTGACGCAGAGTGTGGTTAATGTCCTCATGCTGTGTGCATTGACATGCAGACACTGTTGATTCAACGACAGGAGGTCATAAGTTCATTAGGGTTTGGTCGGCAGAACAGCTGCTCCGGAGAGAGGGAGAGAGAGAGATGGAGGGGAAGTATGTGGCTTAGTTGTGTGTGTGTGAGTGTATGTGTTTTTAAGTTAATACAATGTAGGTCGGTCATTCATTTATTATTAGTTTTTCTGTTCATTAATTTTCTTTCTTTGCCATTCATTTCATTTCAAATGCGCTTCATTAAATAAAGAATGAAAATTTAACCTCCATACTATTTTGCCAAAAGAGGTAAATAACCTTTCATTTTTGTGAGAAAATTAATGTCAATGTCAAATGTTCGTTGAATAGAATCGAATTGAGACGTCTTTATTTGTTGACAGCAGCCCACAAATTGCATGTCAATCAAGATGGGTCAATTAAGGTGGATAAAAATTGTTTCTACGAAAGGAATCAAGAGTCTGAATAAGTAATCAAAAGCCTGGATAAGTCTCTCTGTCGCGAATGTATTATCCTCCATCATGAAATAAATATCCACCATTGTTGGGTAAAAATTTTAGTGCCGTTGTTCACGTATCAAACATGGTCTTCAAATAATAAAGATAGTGAATGTCTCGCTGTGGGTCTCTTGTGTAAAGGAGAGAATATTTAGTCACACAGGGATTTATTTTCGTATACAGTCCACTTGAGATGAGATTATTTTGGTTGAGTGTTTGTACACAACAATAAGATAGAAACCTTCTATTGCCACATGTGGTATGTTTGGGTGAGATTACGGGGAATATTTTTCACTACAGACTGAACACTTCCAACTATTAGACGACCTCTAAGAGAGGTTCTAGAAATAAAAGAATACACACAATTTCTGAAGGTGAATAATGTTCCATATACATGGACATACAAATGGATCTGTTTCGTAGGAAGACCATCGACAAGTCTTCTATACAAAGAAAAACTTATTCTATAGAATAGCCGATTTGCAGAAATATCCCTTTTGGTCTTCTATGGACACGTATCGGCACACAAGACTTCCTATATCTCAAATAACTCAGCTTCTAAGGACTTTCACTCCGCGAAAAATATCCGCGCAAGCTTTACGGATCCCTCGTTTATCAACCGTGGATAAATGTTTAACAAGAGAGGATATATTTTCCACCATAGCGGATAAATTATCCAACTATCATCGTGGATTAATTTTCCATCAGTGTGGATAAATTTCCAACAATAGTGGATATATTTTCCACCACAGTGGATACATTTTTCATCATCATGGAAAAATGTTCCACCATAAAAAAGTTATCCGCCATAGTGGATAAATTTCTTATCACTGCGAATACATTTTCCAACACTGCGCATAAATTATTCGCCATAGTGCATAAATTTTCCACCATATTGGAAAAATTATCCACCATAGCGGATAAATTGTCCACAATAGTGGATAAATTACCCACCATTGTGGATAACTTTTATACCACAATGCATAGATTTTTCATCACTGTAGTGAATAAATTTCTCCTAATTGCGGATACATTTTTCAACATAGCGGATAAATTATCAGCCATAATGGATATATTTTACACAATAGAGAATAAATAATTATCCACCATGGCGGATAAATTTCCCATCACCACGGATACATTTTTCATCACCGTAAATTTTCCCCCATTGTGGATAAATTTTCCCCATAGCGGATACATTATCCACATTTTCCCCCAGTGTGGGTAAATATTTCACAATAGTGGATAAATTATCCACAGTAGTAGTGAATAAATTTCCCTCCACTGTGGATAAATATTTAGTGGATAAATTGCCCTTCATAGGGGATAAATTTGTCATCACCGTAGCGTATAAATTTTCAACACTAGTGGATACCTTCCCCCAGGTTGGATAAATATTCTACATTAGTGGATAACATTTCCAATCATAGCGGATAAATTTTACATCACCCTGGACAAATTCTTCTTACTTACTTAGCTGGCTTGTGACAGAACTTTCGTTCAATAAGCTGAGCTTAAAAAAGATTTCCAGGCGCGTTGGTCTTTTGCGCAGATTTTCCAATTTGAAAGACCATTTTCGGCAATGTTGTCTTCGACTTGATCTTTCCATCTTATTCGTGGCCTTCTTCTGCGTAAACCATCTGCTGGTTCGCTCTTATATGCCTTCTGGGCTGGGGCATCTTCATCCATTCTCACAGCATGACCTAGCCAATGTATTCGCTGCAGCTCAATACGTCTAACATGTCGATGTCCGAGAATAGCTGGTATAACTCATGGTTCATTCGACGGTGATATTCACCGTCAACGCAGATCGGACTATAGATCGTACGGAGAATTTTTCTCTCAAACACTCCAAGAGCTGCCTCATCTGCTTGCGCAAGTACCCATGCTTCAGATCCATATAACAGCACGGGTAGTATCAGCGTCATGTAGAGTGTGAGTTTGGTCTGGCATTGCTTTTGAGTTGTTTGCTCAGACCATAGTAGCATATGTTGGCCAACACTATCCTTCTCCGAATGGACAAATTAACTGCCATTAACTGCTCTATACGTTTGGCCGTTATGTTCATCTTCCAGAGCGGCACATCCACAAGCCTCTTCATCTTGGCAGTACAATTGTCCTTTCTTGGTGGCCCTTTCTTCGGCCGCTGTCCTGGCCGCACTATTCAACATAGCAAACGCCCCAACGTCCCCAATTTTTAATAATCCTGATTCTTTTCTCTTTTCCCCCTCTCCAGTAAAACGCTCCAATGATGCTCAATCTTCCAGCAAAAATACAGCCGAGACCGCTTTGAATAAAAAATCCAGTCCCGAGGTAGTACCAGCATCCTATACCGCTCCACCCCGGCCAAAATCCAATTTCATAGTCCAACAACAACAGCAGCTGCAGGAACAACAAAACTCGCAAGATAATAACGCCATGGAGAAGAGCAATGACTTAATCAGTTCCGCCATTGCAGCTGGTCTAACTGCCGCCGCAGTTGAAGCTGCCGCCGTTGCTGCCAATCAGCGGGAATTGGAACAGCTAAGAAAACAAAATCCCCAACAGCAATACTATCCCAGCGATGAGGATGACAGCGAAACTGCAGCTGCCATCAATAAGCGTGGTATTAGCAATCAACAACAGTATGGCTATACAAATCTCTCACCACCAGAAAATACCTATCCCGACAATTCCGGTTTTATACCACCACCACCCAGTGGCCGTTATGCATATCCCTATGGTACCTATGAGACAATGCCACCCAAGGAACCACAGACACCACCCGGTGTATGGGGTGATGAACTGATCGACACCCCTCCCAATGTTGTCTACACCGATATGGATGAATACGGTGGCATGCCCATGTCTAGAGGTAATTTGGACTCTATTCTATGTTGTCAATGTCTTCAATGTTGTCTCCCTACTGGTCGCATATACGAAAAAAAATTAAAGTCTGCCAACTACTTGTACTTCCATATCCTTTTTCAGTTCCCTCGTCATATCATGATAAAGCTTACGATAATCTGGCCACTCTTTTAAATTCGGAGAATTATATGGACTCGTTGCCATTGCCGTATACAGGAAGACGTTACTACAATTCAGTGGGAGGTGATAACGATCGCAATAAGCGGGCATATAAGGTTTTCAATCAATTGGCTAATAAGTTTCCTGATATGAGGTAAGTAAGGGAAATGGGGGGAGGGGTTTTTCAAATTTGTATCTTGAAAAATATGGAAAATAAAATGTGCTTCTCTTTTAGATTGAAACGCGACACCAAATTGACTCCTGCTGACATGCTGGCCTTGGTTGCCCTCGTTGAGGCTGGTGAACGTGCCCGCAAGGATACCGATGCTGATGCTGGCTATGCCTATCCTCCCGAAAGTTATGTACCCAAATCATATGGTTTGAATGCCAACACCAATAGCAACAATAATTACAATCTTGGAGCTTATGATTATCCTGCATTGGGTCAAGTTGATGATAGTCTAGACTATAATAATGGCCCCTGGCCCATGGAACCCCAATCAATGGTTGATTATTATGGTGTCCCTATGAATATGGAACCTGTGAGCAAATATAATACACCTCGTATGCCGCTTAAGGAGAATAAATTCAATGATCGTAAGTATCAAGAGAGGGGGGTTGGGGAGAGTGGAAAGAAATTTCCCAAAAAATATGAGTCTTCAGGATATAAAATTCATCTCACAGGCCCTCTATACCTGGATGAAGTTCCCTAGGTCCTATACATATAAAACTGAAACGCATTCTATATACGGGCCTTTAATAGCTTTAAAATCTTCTCTAGGTCTTACACAAATACGAATACATCCTGTAGGATGTACAAACTATTTCCGATTTTCCTTTGTATATCAATGGCCTCCCACAGGTCTTCTATTGATTTAAGACCTTATACGTATAGGTCTTCTATAAATACACTGCCTCCAAGACAGAAGACCTCCTATAGGTCTAATACAGATTTTCAACAGATATATCTATATATAAAGATAGACCGAAGGCCTGCAGAGGTCTACTACAGATCTTCCATAAGACTTCCTAAATAGGTTCTGTAGACAGAAAGAATACAGAGGTCCTCTATTGATAGAAGACCTGATCCAGGTCGTCTATGGATGGAATACCTCATATCTGAGATCTTCGAATATTTGAAGACTTTACAAAGGTCTACTACAGATCTTCTACAGATATAAGAATTCCTAAAGTGGCTCTGTACACAGAAAGACTACAGAGGACTCTATCGATAGAAGACCACATACAGATCGTCTATGGATTGAAAACCTCATTCAAGTCGTCTGTACATATCTGAATTTGTACAGTTCTTCTATAGAAGACCGCATCGACTTTCCAAAGGTGTTCTGCAGATTAAAGAACTCCTACAAGCTTTCTACATATAGGCGATCTCTAACGGATAATATTTAGATAGAAAACATCCACACAGTCTTCCTCAGATTTCCAACTAGCTTCTCCGCATCTTTGTCATATCGCTTTATCTCCAAAGCTTGACCATCAACAATTCTCTCTTCTCCAGCTCCTCACCACATATGTTCCATTAGCTGTTCTATATCCACAAACCTCTTCATCGTGGCAGTATAATCGCCCTCTCTTGGCGGCTCAGAATCTTCGGTCGCTGTCTTCGTCTTATTGGTCCGCTTTCAACTTCCAGACCGTATTTCCAGACTTCTTTATCCACATGCTTCATCTTATTGGTCAAACCCTCTGTTCATGTCTGCTCAATTCCTTTGACATCCTTATTTGCACCAAAATTTTCTTTTAATTGGTCGTATATATATATTATTTTACGGACATGCTTCTTGTTCACCGGATTCAATTTCCCAGCCGGACCCTGTTCCATAACAGGTATATTTGCATCAACCACACCATCGTTCTTTTCAATTTATCGCGTTTGACCTCTGTAGATCGACGGGTCTTCTCCGAAAGAGCCAGTTCTTTCAAAAGTTTCCTTTCAACCTTTTTCCATGATTTCCCTGCTGCCTGGGCATTATCTGCTACCAATTCATCTTTAAGTTCGTGAATTTGATATTCCAATTGGAGGTATTTGTTTTTACCCTCTTCAACCTCCAATTGGAGGCCTTTGTTTTTAGCTCTTCAACCGTTGTCTGCAACGACTGCACCTTTTTCATTCAGGTAACCATTAGCGTCTTCTGTTGTTTCTAGATCAACTTCTAGCTCTATATTTTATAGTCATATACGCACTGAATTTTTCATCATAGCATTCGTATAGCATATCGGACACAAACTTCGCTGAAATAAGATTTCGTCACTCCTCCTACGGATCGTCTTTCATCGGGTGCGCCTCTCACTATATCTTCTATATAGTAATCCAGACTATCGAGTCTCTGTCTGGTTCATCTTCTAGGGTAAGGAACTCTATAGCCTCCCCCTTCTATCTGCAGCCGCAATGCTCAGAATCGAAGCTTCCCCGACTTGCCGCAGTCTTCTTCTGACTCAGCATTTTATTTATTTTAATTTTTTATTTCTTTGGATTTTCCACCAAGCATATTTTTCTCCACGATCGGTCCCTGGATCCGGCTCGAAGGACCAATATTCAACTGGGTTCAATATAGTTACACAGATATTCTCCGCGGAGTTAAAGCACGTCTAATTCAATCTTTCTGCGTTTACACACTAATTTAGTCAAAAATAGATTCCTGTTTAACTAAATATTCTCCCCTTTACACAAGAGACCCACATCAAGACATTCATTATTTTTATCTTGCGGACCAGAAAATTCATATAAAAGATACAAATTTAGATATATGAAACGTAAATGCAAAATAAAAAAATAGCTGGGTGATCACATCCAGGCACCACCGCCATCTCTCCAATATTAGAATTCCAAAAGGTCTTTTATATGTAAACGTCTCCGATAGGTCATATATAGCTAGAAGATCGTCAAAAGGTATTTTATAGGAAGACCTTCTATGGGTATTTAAAAAATACCTTATCTAGTCTTCTTCTACTTATTTAATATTTCCAAATATCAGAAATTGAAGAACTTCTGCAGCACAAGTCAAGGTCATCATTAGATCTTTTTCTATATATTTTCAAATTTGATTTACAGATTTTTTTCTAATTTTTGATTATATTTTTCCTTTCAGGTATTTTCAATAACAAACATTACATGGTGGCTAAAAAGAAGCGTTCCATAGCCAAGCCCATAATACCCTACAAACAGGATAAGCTATATTAAATTCGGCTAATAAATAAAAACATCAACAACAACAAAATAATAATCAATTTGAGAAAAAAAGTAATTTTTGAAATTTACAAAAACACCGTTTAAACAACATCAAATACAATTAATAATAAACAAAATAGTGTCAACAAATAATCAACAAAATGTGTAAAAATAAGTACGCATAAACATCATTGTCATCCTACTCTAAATGAAAGCCCCCAGAAAGTATTTTTCGGTTCTTTTTTAATTTAATCTGTAAATGAAATCTTTAAACATAAAAAAACATTTTGTGTCAAATTTAACAACAAACATGTGCAATTGTTATGAATTACAACGGCATTTATATCAATTATTTATTGAATGAAGAAAAAAACATCAATCTTAATTAGAAACAAAGAAACGTACTAAATGAAAAGAAAAATGAATCACAACAGTCTGAAAATAATTATATATATTTTATTAACATTTGAAAACAAAAACAAACTCTAAGTTAAAAAATAAAACAAAAATAAATAATTATTATTGTAACTTTAAATATTTTTTTTACTACTAACGCCATCTATTGTTTGTGTTTTGTATCGATATACACGAGCTTAATTCAACTCAAATGTACTGTATCATATAATCTAATCTTGCTCCATCATTCTCTTTTGTCATAAAGCACTTTTTGAAAATGCACCCTATACTCTCACTCTCTCGTTTTGTATCACAAAAACGATACATCCACCACTCATCTGAGGGTGGTGAGTTGAATATATAGTAGCCAGGGATGGGTGTTGTAATACAGTATCTCTATTTTATTTTTGAACCTATTTTGTTTGTAAATATTTTATGTAAAAAAAATTAGATTTTTGGAAAGCAAGAAATATTTTTTTCTAATTTTGTTAATTATATATTGTGTGACGAAAATGTCACACAATATATACGGACCGGGCAATAGGCAGGACTTTTAAATGCTAAGTTTATGTTGAAAACGCGTTGTTTCTGTAGAATTTTGTTAATTTCCACACATTTTAGTGGGTTTCCGAGTTATTTTAATATGAGAATTCCGAAATCGATATGTAAATATTATTTCAAGAATATCTCAAAATAAAAAAAAATGGTTTCTGTTCCTTTCGGATTATGGAAAGTATCCCTGTTTGGCATAGGTTTTTTAAAATTCGTTCCATTTTTTAGGAAGTTACACCGTAATGTAATATAAAAAAATTGGAAAAATCTTTCCTCTCAATGGAATTCAGCATGTCAATTTGATTGAAATATCAATAATCATAGATTGTTCTTGGACGCGTTATCGAAATTATGCCACCATAATTCACTAAACCCTAAATCAAACAATATGCAAATCATAGGGTATGTAATAAATTCCGATTGAAATTGGTTTAGATTTCGTAATTTAATTCCATTGTTTATTTTTTTAGCTTCTTTAGACTTCGATTGATTTGATAAATTCCGAAAACTTAAAATGAATCCCTGTGTTTAGTTTAAATATGACAACATATGGATCCTGGCAAGGTCCTGTTGGATCTCCGCGTTTTGTGTCTAAATTATCATATAGGGTATGTTCCAGAACTTGCAAGAATGTACAATTCTTTACTACGATAACAATCTTTCCTTTATGATATCGAAGAAAATAGTAAAAATTATTTTAAAATAAGATGAAGATTTGGAAATAAGAACGTTTTCCGAAAACAGTCAAATACGAAAATAAATCCACATTAGAAATTCGTATATATTCCATATGGTTATGGAAAAAGCAAGAAGGTATTGCTTATTTATATTGGGTTTCTCAAATTCGTTGCGAAACTATCAATTTTCGAACAAAAATCCAATCATACACAAATATGTGTCCAAGCATATAATATAAAAATTGATCGAATGCCTAAGGCCTATTACTTTCATGTAATATATTATAGGGCAATATTGCCTTCGAAATTGTGAATCCTCAGAACTACTAGTGAAACCTTTATCTCAGAATAAGGAAAATGTGCAAGATTTTCTTATGTTGATCCCATGATAGTCTCATTTGAGAAATTTATAATGGCAACACTTTTTAATTTGTAGCTATCTATCTGTCTATCAATTTAATATTATATACTAATCAGAATTATTGAAACATCAGAAATATTGAACATCAAGACTATTAGCGAAACCACAGTATCAAAAGACTGACTAAAAACCGTAAAAATGTTCCGATACTGCAAGGGAAGGCATCATTATCTTTACTTAAAAAATCGTTTACAATATTTGCAGACGATATTTTTTTCAAGTATTCGATAAAGTTCTGAATGATACTGTTACTTTCCATTACAACGAGTTGATATTTTCAATTAATGTGTTAATACTGATATTTAGCAGAAAAATAAAAAACTGACTAGGGAAAGTATTGGTTGAGTCCCTTTTTCGGATTTCATGCTGGATTGAAGACCCTTGCTAAAAAAAATTAAACAAATATGAATTTTATATAATGTGAGGTGTCATACCATTAACCACGTTTTGTCGATGATATTTCAATATAAAGCTCCTAAAAAACTTAGAAAGATGTTATAAAGGTTAGTACCACTGTCATAGCGGTATCCAAATCAAAGGATTTCTTTTTTTATTTAAAAAAATGGCAAGAATTGAGTCAGGATGGAAAGGTATTAATAAAAAAGTATGAAATAATTTCCTACAACTTCTAACCTCGTCAGATTTTTTTTAAATATATCCCGTTGACTTAGATAAAACCATCTACTGAAAAGTTGGTCTATAGTTATTGAAGTTTTTAAAGGAAAGATGGTGTTCCGAAATGTTGTTTTCCACTTGATCTTTCAATCGTAGCCTTTCTATTCCACGTGAATCATTATATGCCTTTTGAGCTGGCATATAAACGTAGAACACTGCAGCTCGATACGTCCGACTACGTCGATCACCGAGAATATATGGTACAATTCATGGTTTATTCGACGTCGACTTTCACCGTCGGCGCAGATCAATCCATAGATCTTTCGTAGAATATTTCTCTCAAACACTCCAAGAGTTGTCTCATCTGCTTGACTAAGTACCCATGCTTAAGATCCCTGCACCAGCACTGCAGTAACAGCGTCGTGTAGAGTGTGTGTTTGATCTGGTGAGAGGCGGACTTGTTTTTGAATTGTTTACTCAGACCATAGTAGCATCTGTTACCCAACACTGTTTTCGTACGAATTTCAAACTGATGTCATTAGTTTTATTTATGGCGGTACCAAGGTATATAAAATCTTTGACCTTGAATCTGTAGTTCTCAAGTTCCACCGTTGGTCCAAGTCTCCTAGACGTCTTGCTCGTTGATACTATCAGCTTGGTCTCCTCGCCAATGCGAGAAGAGTGGATGTTACCGCTTGCAATGTTCGAACCATTATGTCGATATCATCGGCGTATGCGAGTAACGTGTGTTGTTTGGTGTACAGAGTACCATTTCTGTTCACATTTGCATCTCGTCTGATCTTTTCCAGCAGGATGTTAAAGAGGTCACACAACAAATTGCCACCTTGTCCTTTCCGACTTGAACTGCTTACCTTGCGCCAATTAAAGTTATATATTATCTCCCACAGATTTCTCACTTGCAGAATATAGACCTCGTATAGCTCGTCCACGAGAAAATTTTATTTTTTCTTCAATTTGAAATATTCTTCAACTTGAATTATTTTTTTTTTTACAATTCTCAAATCGATAAATAAAATAAACAATTTTTTATTAATTTCTCTTTCGAGATGAGCTACATGATCGAAATTGCAATGAAAAAGAAAGCCAGAGACATGATTTCATGTAGCCTTTAGACTTTCACCTATGGACAGGCGCATACATGGCTACGCAATCCAAATCCTTTTTTAAGAGCAATTTCAAAATCAAATTTAGGGTTGTTTGAGTAGACGGCCTTCGGCCGGGATGTGACAATGTGGCTTACAAATGTTACTCCATATGTTGTATTTATGTCGAATATTGTTGCGAAATTGCATCTACGAATTAAATTCAACCGTGTCAAGGTACGGACATTTTCAGAGCAGATTTTTATTGCAGTGACGGACTCATAAAAAACAAAAAATGCTATTTTACTAAATAGACCTACAGATTTCGTATTGCTTTCTTTTTAATAAGTGTAAAATATTGTTTTACCACAGTTAGACAAAATAAATGTTTCATATTCCGTTTTGTAATTATTAAATATTTTTAAAACCTATAGTTATAATTTTATCCTTGATGTTTCCGATATCAGTGGGAACAAAGTCAATTTATTTTATTCCTATTTTACATAGAAATTTGAATATTTACAAAATAGACTCCTCGGGTCATGATTTTTTTAGTAACTTCACTAATAAAGAATTCTTTTTTGCTGATAATATAATTTTCCTTTTTTCAGAAAGCTAGTTTTTTTATTCCAACTAATGTTAATATTTATTTTTTTTTTATAAAAAAAAATAAATAAATATTGCATTGCATTGACAATTACAGAATTCCCATCCCTGTAACTTGCTGTTATTTACGCTCTCTCTCTCTCTCTCGTCACATTTGCCTCATTACTTGCTTTAGCTTTGTACTAAAACGCGCCATCTATAAACGATTACATGGAAATTGATGTAGATTTGTCATGGCAGCTGCTGTATATTTTTAGGCGTTTCATTGAAAACAAAAACAATCAACAGAAGAAAAATCCATTAAAAACTATATCCCTTAAGTTTTGGCATTTATTTAAAAAAATACTAAATCTAAAATATCTAAAACAAACATTTATATAAATATCACATATATATACAAAAACACACACGAAATATAACACTCACATACAAACAAACACACACACACCTAACTATGTAAACAAACATAAAATTGTTGTATTGTATATTAAACCAATCTAGTAATTATACATTAAAAAATATTAACAAAAGAAAAAAAAACAATATTTGATTGAATTGACAATTTAAAATTAAAAATAATTAAACCAAAAAATATGAAAGAAACATGTATTATTAATTCGAAATGAATAAAAACAATTAAGT